CTGTCATTTACTAAGAGAAAAGTATTGAATCTTCAACTACAATTGTTGAATTGTGTATTTTTCCTTTCTGTTTTGTCAGTTTTTAATTTACGTATATTGGGACTCTGTTATTAAGTATATATACATTTATGATTGTTTTGTTGATAGATTTATTTTCTTATGAAATATTCTTTGTAGGAATATGTCTTTGAAGTTTTAGTTTTTCTGATATTAATATAGCAAATCCAACTCTCTTATAATTACTGTTTTCAGGAATTATCTTTTTCATCCTTTTTTTTTTTTGGTGGGGGGTGGTGCTGAAACCCTCATCCTTTGGTTCCAGTCTATTTGCGTTTTGAACTTAAGAGGTGTCTCTTGTAGACACCATATAGTTGGATCTTGCCTTTTTATCCAGTCTAACAACTCTACATTTTGATTAGTTAGTCCATTCAACATTTAATGTATTTATGAGCATGATTGGGTTTATGCCTGCTATTTGCTGTTTTCTACATCTTATTTTTTTGTTCCTCTGCTACTGCTTTATTGCCTTTTTTATATATTTTTTATATTTTGTATATTATATATTATTTTATATTTTATACTTAGTGTATTAATTCCTCTGATTATTTTAAAGCTATTTCTTTTTTTTTTAAGATTTTATTTATTTATTTGACAGAGAGAGACACAGCAAGAGAGGGAACACAAGCAGGGGGAGTGGGAGAGGGAGAAGCAGGCTTCCCGCTGAGCAGGGAGCCCCATGCGGGGCTCAATCCCAGGACCCTGGAGACCATGACCTGAGCCCAAGGCAGATGCTTAACGACTGAGCCACCCAGGCGCCCCTAAAGCTATTTCTTAAATAGTTATTTTATTAGTGGTTGCTCTAGGATTGCAATATGCATCCTTAACTTGTCACAAGCTACTTCCGGTTAATACTGAATTCCAGTAAAATAGGGACACCTGGGTGTCTCAGATGGTTGAGCGTCTGCCTTCAGCTCAGGTCATGATCCCAGGGTCCTGGGATTGAGCCCCACATCAGGCTTCTGGCTCAGTGGAGAGCCTGCTTCTGCCTCTCCCCCTGCCTCTCCCCCTGCTCATGCTCTCTCTCTCTCTGTATCTCTGTGTCTCAAATGAATAAATAAAATCTGAAAAAAAAAGAAATCTAGTAAAATATAGTAGCTTTGTTCCAATATAGCCTTGTTTCCTCTCCCCTGCTTTTGTACTATTATTTCACATATATCACATCCATATATAACCACAACAATATGTTGTTATAATTATTGTTTTAAACAGTCTTACGCTTTTTGAAGAAATTTGGAGAAAAGAAAAAAATATATGTTGTCTTTATATTTACCCAAATATTTACCATTTTGAGTACTCTTAATTCCTTCCTCTGGATTTGAGTTACTGTTGGTTTTCCTTTCAGCCTGAAGAATTTAGTTTTTCTTGTACACAAGTCTGACAGGAATGGATTCTTTTAGACTTTTCTTTTTTTAATCTGGATATCTTTACTTTACCTTCATTTTTGAAGGATAGTTTTGCTGGCTATAGAATTCAGCACTTAGAATATGCTTTTCCACTGAATATGTCATATTGTTGTTCCTCTGTTTGCAATGAATCATTTTTTCTTGTTTTTGTTCTCTTGTTGTTTTCTTGTTCTCTTTGTCTTTAGCATTTGGACTGATGCAATTTGGTATGGATTTCTTGGGAATTTCCTTAAATGTTCGCCATTATTTCATCAAAAAATGTTTTTCCTGCTCCTTTCCCTCTTTCCTCCCCTGCTAGGAATCCTGTGATGTGTATATTGGTAATCTTAATGTTATCCCACAGGTGACTGAGGAACATTTTTCTTTTGTCTTCTAAATTTTTTTTCATATTGTTCTTCCTTTATTTAGATTAATTCCTATTGATCGTTTTTCAAGTTCACTGATTTTTTTCTTCTGCTATCTCAAATTTGCTATTAAGTCTATCTGGTGAATTTTTCATTTGGGTATTGTATTTTCAATTAGAATTTCTTTTTAGTTTTATCTTACAGTTTCTATTTCTCTATTGAGATTCTCTATTTGTTGAGTCAGTATGACTATATTTTCCTTTAATTCCTTGAATATATTTTTATTAGTTGTTTTGAAGTTTTGTTGGTTAAGTCCACCAACTTGTGGATGCTTTCAGAGTCAGTTTCTATTGACTGGTGTTTTACCTATGTACGAATCTTTTTTACTTTCTTGGCTTTTTTTAAAGTGGATAGTTAAGGTAATATATTAACTCTGGGTTCTTAATTTATTTTCTTGAGGGTATTTTAAAAATAATTAGCCTGGACATAAATTGAGGCATCTACCTGTCCCATGTGTACATCACAAAGGTACCTGTACATTTTTTTAAATTCTAATTTTTATTTTTTATTTTTGCTTTTTAGGGATTGTCCCTGTGTCTGCAATGTTTATTGGTCAGCCAGTGATTTGGACTGTTCTGTTAAACATCTCAAATGCATAAGCTTTTATCCTCTGCTGATTGAACTATGCAGGTTGAGGAGGACATTCAAAATTCAGGCAGTTCTTAAGTTTGCTTTCACTTTTACTTTCCACTGGCCTCTTGGGTTTCCCCGTGCATGTGCATAGTTTCTCATTTAGCTAGGGGTTTGTAGAGAGCTAATCTAGCTTTTCTATGGTTCTTTCATTTCCAAGATTTTCCTGTTAAATTTCCTATTTGTTTACCACTCACCTAACCAAGACTCCAACTTCAGGCTAGCAAAGCAGCAAGTTTTTTAAAAAAATTTTTTCTGAGTTCTCCACTTTAGCCTACTTTAGACAAACCCCCTCCTCTCTAGTTAGCCTTCTTTGGCAATAAAGCTGCTGGTTTTTATGGCTAGCCTTGCCCTGGTAAAGCTGTTGTCCTCCACAGAGCTGGAGATATGAATGGGAGCAGTCCTAGGCAAGAAAGGTAGAAACTTCATTGTTCTTACTTAAGGCTCTAGCAGTTTCTCAATAATTTGTTGTGGCCTTTGATTGATTTCTAGAGCCCTGAAATGGTTGTTTTTGACAGTTTTGTTCAGCTTAATACTTGTGTTTTAAGGAGAGGACTTGCCCAACCTCTTTCCACCACCCTCAAGCCCAGTTTTATTGTTTTATAAAAGCACTGGTCTTCAAAGATTAGAAATTAAAACAATAAAAACAACAACTAGTTCCTTATACCTGGTGGTTTGAATAGCTCTGAATTAAATAGTGGCAACAGGAGGCAGGTCTTTAGACTTAAGTAGCCTACTGGTTCATGTGGCTTACTAGTTAATTAGGTAAAAAATGCTTCTGCCAAAAAATCTCTTGTGGGCCTTACCCTTGGATTACTTGAACCGTTTGTTGGGCACCCAAATGTTGAAAATCAAATAAGAGAACTTTTGAGTAGAACCCATAGCAGGTATTTGGGAACCTATGAGGTTCAGGATATGAATTTATAGTGGGATAATTACGAATAACTTTTTTTCCTGACTGATGTCTGAATTCAGCACTAGATAAAAGAAAACCAACTCTGGAGGTAATCCAAGGTTGGGAATAGGTTTAGTTCTGATTCCCACAGATTACTAGTGATCCTAATTTTCTCTCTAAATAGTCTTTAGAGACCAGAGAAGGATGAGACCAAACGATTGTAATTTTTAAAATTTTAGGTGCCCTGGTTTTGGTCAGGTAATCTCTTTCTCTCAAACTTGACTGTATCTCAGAATCATCATGGAAATTAAAAAAAAATTTTTTTGGGAATCACCATCTCTGGGTTTGGTACACTAGACTCTTTTCAACAGTCAGATTTGCTAATATTTTTCTAGACGTAAAAACCGTGTTTGCCTGTAAGTGTCTAACTCTATTTATCAAGTTACAATGATAAGAGCAAGTTCACAAGTACTGTACTTTTTTTGTTGACTTTATTTTGCACTTAACTTTAGTTCTCTCTCTTTCTCTTTTCCCACTTATGAAGCTATTCAGCTACAAAACACCTTCACATTTGATATTTAAACCTCTGAAACATTAAAATAGCTGACTTAAATTTCATAGTTGATCATGCATTAACAGTTTCTCTATCTCAGTACTGTGCTATTGCTTAATTGCTTCACTACTTCTTGTTTTATATAGATCTACCTAAATGTTTCTCTCTTCTTTTCCTCTGCCCTCCCCAAATTTTTTTCATTTTACAAAACTGAAACCCTGTATCCAATAACTCCCTACTCTTATCCTAATCCCTGGATACTACCATCCTACTTTCTGTTTTTTGTTTCTGTGAATTTGACTATTCTTGATAAGTCATACAAATGGAATCATATAGTATTTGTCCTTTTATGACTGGCTTATTGCACTAAGGATAATGTGTTCAGAGTTAATCCATGTTGTAGCATGTGTCAGAATTTCCTTCCTTTTTAAAGCTGAGTAATATTCCATTGTATGTATTATCACATTTTGTTTATCTGTGGATGGGGCACTTGGGTTGTTTCCACTTTCTGACTGTTGTAAATAATACTGCTGTGAACATGGGTGTACAGATATCTTTTGAGATCCTTGCTCTCACTTCTTTTGGGCTTATAGCCAGAAGTGGAATTGCTGGATTAATGGTAATTCTGTTTAATTTTGTGAGGAACTGCCATTTTGTTTTCGGTAGCAGATGTACTGTTTTACATTCCCACCAGCAGTACACAGGGTTCTAGCTTGTTTACATCTTTTCCAACACTTGTTTTCTGTTTGTTTGCTTTTTAAATAGCTATCCTAATGGATATGAGGACTTCCTTTTAAAGAAAAGAGCTACAACCTGTTTTTATTTTTAAATTTTAATTAAAGAATTTTTTCATGGAATACTTCGTGAATTGTTTTTTTAAAGATTTTATTTATTTATTTGAGAGAGAGAGAGAATGAGAGATAGAGAGCACAAGAGGGAAGAGGGTCAGAGGGAGAAGCAGACTCCCCGCTGAGCAGGGAGCCCGATGTGGGACTCGATCCCGGGACTCCGGGATCATGACCTGAGCCGAAGGCAGTCGCTTAACCAACTGAGCCACCCAGGCACCCCACTTCGTGAATTTGCATGTCATCCTTGCCTGGGGGCCACACCAATCTCTTCTGTACCATTCCAGTTTTAGTATATGTGCTACCAGTGTTAGCACTACAGACTTTTTATAAAGTCATAGAATTTTTAAATTTAAAGGAACCTTAATAACTGTCAGAACTGACCTCTTTATTCTTTGTGCCTCCCAGTTCATCTGTGATACCTACAAACATTCACTGTATGCCTGTCTTTCTTTGCCTATTAGACTCTGAGCCTGTTGGGATAATAACTGGGTTTTATTCTTATATGTCTTTCCAACAACTAGCTCATTACTTTGATACACTGTAGATTGTCTAGAAACAAATTATGTTAATTTATAATTTTAAAAATATTTCAGATTTTTTTAAATTAAATTTTTTAATTGAAGTATAGTTGATACACATTGTTACATTAGTTTCAGGTGTACAACATAGTGATTTGAAAACTATATATAATGCTATATGTTCACCACAAGTGTAGCTACCATCTCTCACCATCTTCAGATGGGGAGATTATCCTGGATCATCCAGGTGAGCCCTAAATGGCAGTCACAAGTATCCTTACAAGGGGGAGGCCAAAGGAGATTTCAGGTAGAAGAGAGGGCATTATAACTATGAGGGCAGAGATTGGGGTGATATGGCAAGCCAAGGAATGCTGACGCCTACCAGCAACTGGAAAAGGCAAGGACCAGATTCTCCTTTAGAGCTTTCAGAGGGAGTGTGGCCTTGCCATTACCTTGATTTCAGCCCAGTGAAACTGGTTTTGGACTTCTAGGCTTTACAACTATGACAGAATAAATTTCTATTGTTTGAGCCACCAAGTTTGTGGTAATTTGTTATAATGGCCACGGGAAGTTAATACAGAACCAAAGCAAGTCTTTGGGCCTTTTAGGTTCATTGTTCTCAACCACATTCTTTTTGTTGAAAGTCATTTACTCACTCTTAATACACTTTTTTATAGAAATCTCTTTTTAGAAATTCAATAAAGAGGACATTTTATTTTAGGCCGTAGCTGACTGTTCTACAAAAGATAACTGGAAATAATTGGCCACATATTTCTCTTTTTTCTTTCCTTTTAGGGATAAAATATCTAATATATCTAAAATATCTAATATAAAGGTGAGAAACAAGTAAGTAAATGTGGCTTATCTTTCTACCCTGGGCAATTAAAAAAATAGGTTATTCTTAGAACCAATTTAAGTTGTTTCTTATACTGCTCATTTATGTGCTTACTACAAAACAAAACAAAACAAAACAAAAACTCCCCCCACATTTTTCAAACGTGCATTTTTTTCAAAATTAGTCCAGAAGGGTTTGTTTGGTGCATGCAAGAATCTGTTAGACCAAAGATAGGGAAGGTAAACATTTTGAAGGGAGAATAACATAGGCAATTACTTGGGTGAAACAAATAGGCTAGAGCAGTTGAAAAGCTGAATGGTGACACATTCCTGGAGCCAAGAGGACAGTGATGGATGTTCAGGGCCTTCTGGGATGTGAGCGGGGACTGGTGACCATCCCCCTTTGCTCTTGCATAGGACCCCAAGAGACTTGAGTCCTAGTAATAAAGATGAGTGGAAATAGACTCGCCCTTGTAGGAATTGCAACTTAGCTTCAAATTATTTCAATACCTGAAATTGGTTTGAGGTAACATAAGTGCCCTGGTACAAGTAAACAATCCTCTCTGGATATCCTCACAGATTACTTTCATTATCAGTTTTTTAAATAGGTTGCTTAGTACACAGTAAAAAAATAATTAGAAACCTGAGGGGATGAAACAATAAGAATATGGAACAAGAAACATTAGACAATAGAACAAATACACAGGAGATCCAAATATTGGAGTTATCAGATTTAAAATAACTATTCTTAAAAGGTTCAAGGAAATAAAAATAAGTTGGGGAAATTCAACAGATAACTGGCAAACTTTTTAATGCATATTTTAGATTTGAAAAATACAGTAATTGAAACTGAACTCAATGTATGGTTTTAAAAACGGGTGTCTGGGTGGCTCAGTCACTTAAGGGTCTGCCTTTGGCTCTGGTCGTGATCCCGGGGTCCTGGGATTGAGCCTCGCATTGGGCTCCCTGCTCAGCGGGGAGTCTGGTTCTCCCTCTGCCCCTCCCCCGCTTGTGCTCTCTCTTGCTCGCTCTGTCAAATAAATAAAATCTTTAAAGAAAATGAAAACAGATTGATAGTATCTGAGAAGAATCAGTGAACTGCATTATAAGTTAGAAGAAACTAAATCATGCATGAAAATTCAAAAGATTAGGAAATACAGAAGAGTAGGTGAAAGACTTAGAGAAAACAGAGATTAGATACGTCATATGTGTAATGGGAACTCCAGAAGAAAAAGAATAAGGAAGAGTATTTGAGGAGATATTGTTGATAACTTTCCAAAATTCATGAAAACCAGCAAGCCACAGATTCAAGAAGTGCTACAAATCGGGGTGCCTGGGTGGCTCAGTCATTAAGCGTCTGCCTTCAGCTCAGGTCCTGATCCCAGGGTCCTGGGATCGAGCCCCGCATCGGGCTCCCTGCTCAACGGGAAGCCTGCTTCTCCCTCTCCGACTCCCCCTGCTTATGTTCCTGCTCTTGCTGTGTCTCTCTCTGTCAAATAAATAGAATCTTTAAAAAAAAAAAGTGCTACAAATCACAAGAGAATAAATGTAAAGAAATCCACACCTAGGAACATTATGGTAAAATTTCTAGGAAACAAAGACAGAAAATCTTAAAAGCAGCCAGAGGAAGAAAATATACAATTTTGAGGGTGCCTGCGTGGCTCAGTTGGTTAAGCGTCTGCCTTTGGCTCAGGTCATGATCCCGGGGTCCTACCGTCGAGCCCCACATCGAGCTCCCTGTTCAGCGAGAGCCTGCTTCTCCCTCTCCTTCTGCCATTCCTCCTGCTTGCACTCTCTGTGTGTCAGGTAAATAAATAAAAGCTTAAACAAACAAACAATTTTGAAAGGATCACAGACCTAGAGCTAACTTCTCAACAGGAACAATAGAAGACAGAGTACAGTGGGATGATATCTTTAAAGTTCTGAGTTAAAATAACTCCCAGTCTGCAATTCTACACACATCATATACAGTGAAAATATCCTTCTAGAATGAAGCGCAATAAAGTTTTAAAAAACAAAACACAAAAATAAAACCAAAAAGAAGTCGTCACCATTGGAACCCCACTGAAAAAAATCCTAAAGGTGTTCTGAAAGATGACCCAGTTGGAAGGTTGGAGATGCAAGAAGGCATGAATAGCAATGCAAACCACAAATACATGGTCAAGTCTAAGTGAATATTGATTGTATAAAACAATAAGAATGTTTTATTAGGATGTTAGAATTTTAAAACACATAGAGAGGGCGCCTGGGTGGCTCAGTCAGTTAAGCGTCTGTCTTTGGCTCAGGTCATGATCCCAGGGTCCTGGGATCGAGTCCTGCGTAGGGCTTCCTGCTTAGCAGGAGTCTGCTTCTCCCTCTGCCCCTCCCCTCACTTGTGCACTCATGCTCTCTCTCTCTCTTACAAAAATAAATAAATTAATTAAAATAAATCTTTCATAAAAAACACACACACACACATAGAGAATGAAGGAGCGCCTGGGTAGCTTTGTTGAGTGAATGTCCAACTCTTGGTTTCGGCTCAGGTCATGATCTCATGGGCTGTGAGATCAAACCCCATGTCATGTTGGGCTCACTGCTCAGTGGGGAGTCTACTTGAAGATTCTCTCCCTCTGCCCCTCCCCTGACTCCCTCTCCCCCCCCCCTCAACTTTAAAAAAACATAGAGAATTAACATACACAGTAGTCATGGCCTATACATTAGGAGGGGCCTAAGCTCCCTTGCTTTATCAAGGAAGAGGGGTAAAACTGCCAATTAATAGAATTTTGCAAGTCAAAAATAGGTGTTATAATCTCCAGGGAAGCTGTTAAATTAAGCGAATAGTCACGACATGCTGCAGCCTGGATAAACCTTAAGAACATTATGCTATGTAGTGATCCAAAGGGCCACGTGCACCCCAATGTTTATAGCAGCAGTGTCCACAATAGCCAAACTATGGAAAGAGCCTAGATGTTCATCAACAGATGAATGGATAAAGAAGATGTGGTGTATATATATACGATGGAATATTATGCAGCCATCAAAATTTGAAATCTTGCCATTTATAACGACGTGGATGGAACTAGAGGGTATTATGCTAAGCGAAATAAATCAATCAGAGAAAGACAAGTATCCTGTGCTCTCACTGATATGAGGAATTTGAGAAACAAGACAGAGGATCATAGGGAAAGGGAGGGAAAAATGAAACAAGATGAAACCAGAGAGGGAGACAAACCATAAGAGACTCTTAATCTCAGAAAACAAACAGGGTTGCTGGAGTGGAAGGGGGTGGGAGGGATGGGGTGGCTAGGTGATGGACACTGGGGAGGGTATGTACTATGGTGAGCGCTGTGAATTGTGTAAGACTGATGTATCACAGACCTGTACCCCTGAAACAAATAATACATTATATGTTAATTAAAAAAATTTAAAAAATTATGCTAAGTGAAATAAGCCAGTCATAAAAATACAAATACATGATTCCACTTATAGAAGGTATCTTCAGGAGTCAAAGTCACAGAAAGTAGAATAGTGATTGTTAGGAGTTGGGGGTTATGGGGTATAATGGGATATGGGGAGTTTAATAGATACAGAATTTAAGTTTTGTAAGATGAAAAAGTTCTGGAGAGTAGGTGTATAATAATGTGAATATACTTAACACTACTGACTATATACACTTAGAAATGGTTAAGATGGTAAGTATTATGCTGTGCTTTTTTTTTTTTTACCAGAATAAAAAATAGAATTAGACACTTAACAAAAGAAAACTGTTCTGAATGTGGATATATTAACATTCAGCCAAAGTAGACTTTAAGGCAAAAAAACATGATTAGGGATAAAGGAGGGGCACTTCATAATGATAAACTATTTAATTTAACAAAAAATAATTTTAATAACAGATTTAGATTTTTAAAAATTATTTATTTGAGAGAGAGCACAAGTGGGGGGAGGGGCAGAGAGGGAGGAGAAGCAGACTCTCTGCATAG